GCTATTTATCAGGTCATTTGGAAGTATATAAGGGTTCCAGGCTTCTGGAGCAGTTTCGTTGACCCGTTGGTTGACTAGGGAACGAGCAAAAAGCGTAGCCTGCACAGTTGTTGCGAGGAATCGAGCTGGCTCCGAGGATACCGCAAAGGTGAGTGTTCTTCCCCGCAGGTAATAGGAAGCGTGGTAGAAATGTTTGGGATTCTGAGAGAGGTTTTAAAGCGATATCATGTATCGCGAATGCGGAGCTAGGTTCGAGTCCAGTTTCCTCATCCAAAGTATCGTCGAGCTAATAGTTCACTGTCTAGATTGTGATAAAAACGGCCAGTACCAATCAGCATTCACCAATATTCAAGCGGCAGTTCTATCGAGGATTTATTCGAGAAAATAGTCCAAGTGGTGAGTTTCTTAAGCTTTTTAGAGACTTATTTTAGGAATTGCTTTTCTTGGTATTTTGGGTTCAAAGGTACAAACTTATGCTTCGTATTATTTGGCATAGCACTTTGTTTTAGGTTCTTCCGTACTGCTCGAAAATAACTCTCCACTGCTGGTTTCTGCAACAGATAAGGATGTGGGTCCCAACGCGCTCGTCGGTTACCGACTCCTCAATCCGAATGAACCGTATTTTGTGGTAGATTTCGTGACAGGAGCGATTCGCTCTAGAAAACCGTTGGATTATGAGAAGATGAAGGAATGGATATTTTACGTGCAGGCTAGGTGAATTTGAAATTTTTCAGTATCATATTATGTGAATATTTGGATGAACCACATGTATAAGGACCTGCAAGCCGCGCTTCTTTACTTTGCACTCTTCTTTTGTGATAGGGGAGGGCACCGTGAATCCATAGGTATTCGACGCTTCAGTAATGTTGTCTCTTGCCTGGGGTAATTTTCCTAGAAGTATAGTATACCTACATAGGTAAACCTACAACTAAGCTTCTATAACGGGTGAGAAATGGACTTTTGATCGACATCCCTGGAAGCTCCTAAAGGCACGATCCGAGATTAGACACGCTTACCTGTTTCATCCTCGATTATAGTAGACAGGCGGACAAGCGTTGATGTCGCGCCCCTTTTGCGGCTTGAAAGTGCGCGACAAAGGCGCTGGAAGCTCGCTCGACCCGCAATCCACACCTTCGTCCGCAAGCCCCGCCTTCCGCTGTCGTCTGCCACGTGGCACTGCGAAAAAACGAGGGTGCAGTTGGGGCAGCGGTTGCATTGCGGTCAATGCCTGGAGCAATTGGAAGATTCACGGAACTCACCCAACGCCCCTTCTCTAACCCAATGTGGAATGCGGCAGAAATGGGAAAGGTCATTATTCGGGACGTAATCGGCGGTTTCTTTTGCTTTTCCAAACTACTGTCCACCTCAATCTTCATTAATGAGCGCTCCAACACACCCATTTTATCTCGGGGCTTGCTTTTGATTAAGTGACAAACCCGAAACATCAGTCAGTATGATAAAGTTGTTGTCGTTCTTGGCTTGTGGTGGAGGAGGGGGGGCTGCAGTGGGTGAGTGTGACAATGCTGAGCCCCTTCGCGAGTGACATGGCGGCCGGGGGGCGGTGTGGAGCGGTTCGGTCACGATGTGCGAGCGGGATGGGTATGCGATGGGGGGGGGTGACAGTGCACTTTAGACACTAATATCTACAACACAAGTCTTCACAAAGGTCCAATGGGGCGCGTGCGGGTTGTCGGGTCCGGGCTTAAATATGAAGTTGATTCTGATTCTACCGACAGTACCGGGTGTGGTTGTGGCAAAACCAACGGCATTGGACAATGATACTGTGGGAAAACTGCGTTATACAATAAAGGTCAGTGGCTTTTGCAACATTTTTTCGAAGTGAAATTTCCTACGGCGATTGAGCTCAATAAAAAATTTTCAGGGTAGCACGCATTCTAATGGTTCTCCATCAATTCAACTGATGGCTCGATCATTTTGTTGAAGTCAGATCCAAAGTCACTGAATCTAGCGAAATATGTGGTGAGTTTGTTAGAATTTGGACGGTCATTTGGATACTTTGAGTGTATTGCCCTTGTGGGGTTCCAATTTTCACTGATCTCTGTAATGGTTTTGAATCTTATTTTTCAAGAAAGCCAAGGCTAATCATAACTTTGAATTTTTTACCTCTAAGGTTTGACAAATAATAACAAGGGTAATATGAAAAATACGGGTTACACGATATGGTTTCGGGACCGGGATCCTTTTTCGAGCTCACCATTGTATGGCCCAGGGCATGCACCTATGTTCGTTTTCTTGATCAAAATGCTGAAGAAAGTTGGCGTTTTCCCTTGCTACTCTTGAAATTTTCATCAATTCGTACGTTTTCCATCTGTAACTATTTTTGGACGTTTTTCAGATGGAGGTTCTAGCGTCTGATGGTATTCACACAGCAAGTGCGACCGTTGAAATCTCTGTCCAAAAGATATCAACAGAGGCGAATGGTTTCCGCTTCCCTCAAGTCGAGTACGCGACAAGCGTTAAGGAAAACACCACTTTCGTTCCTGGAGAGCCTCTCATAGCTGTGAGTTGCCAGTTTCTTTCGTTGAAGAGATCTCAACTAAGCAGTGTCGAGTATTTGTAATTGTTTTTGAAGGTGACTGCGGTCGGAGCTCCGGAAGGTGCCAGTGTGACGTATCGAATTTTGAATGAACGTGAAGAAGTGTTCATCCACGAAGGAACCGGAATGATTTCTCTCACCGGGAAACGCTTTGATAGGGAAGAGGAAGCAAATGTTCGATTACTTGTGCAGGTTGGTGTTCGTTTGAATGCCCAAGTTTTGTTCCCATTTCTTGTATTTTTTTTTGTTTGAAGTTGGTTGGTAGCATTGCTTCTTTGAATATCTTGGACCTGGATGTGCCTATCGAGCGCGGGCGCAATGGAAAGGGGTGTCTGATTGAATGCGCTTCTAATTTGAAGACTTTGTGGCCCAACCTTCCCAAACAGTGGTACTCATTTCTGATGCTGCTGATCAAGTTGATACTCACTGATAAGCCTATCAAACACTGGGAATGGGATTTAGCGCCAGTCTACGTTCAGCTTGATCGTTGATTCAGAAATGACTGGAAATATGATCGATCTAGTAAATGGTAGAAATGGTCGGGTGATGTGAATCACTTATCTTGAACGAATGTAAGCACGATGTGAATGTAAATTTCATTCGCAGAAACTTGATTCCTTAATTTTCTATAGGAAGGTGCCGCATTTCTTACTTCGTACGAATGTCATTTGTTGTGTTGAAGACAAAATCGTTTGGGTTCAACTAAAGTTAGTTGTATGGGTGTTTCAAAAGCTTTGTTGGAAGGGGTTGAGTTGGTCTAGGTCTGAATGAAGGCAAAACCAGCAATTGAAAACTGACAGTGAACGATGGTGAAAGCTCCGTTTTACGGTCGATATTAAAGGCAAGAATCAGCATTAAATTGATGGGTTGATTCCAATCAAAGGTGAAAC